AGCAGGAAGTAGAAGGGAACAGGCAGAGTGGGGCTGTGTCCTGGGATCCTTAATGGTAAAAGGGAATGCATGAACTTTAGGAATACATTTCCTTATGAATTTTAGTCAATTGATCAATTTCTACAATAAAGACAGTTGTGATTTTGATGGGGATTGCATTGAACCTATAGATCAATTTGGGAAAATTGATAACGCTACTGAATCTTCTGACCCATGAACACAGTATATTTCTGCATTTATTTAGGTCTTCTTTAATTTCTTTCAGCAATGTTTTGTGGGTTTTGGTGTGTAGGTTATTCACGTATTTTGTCAGATTTATCCCTAAATGTCTCATTTTGGGGGATGCTACTGTAAAAGTGTTATTTTTAAACTTTCAACTTCCAACTCTTCATTGCTAGTATATACAGGTACAGGGGATTTTTATGTATTGATCTTGTATCCTACGACCTTGCTAACCTCACTTATTAGTCCTAGTAGCTTTTTTGGTGTATCCACAGGATTTGTTATATAGGCAAATGATCAGCAATCTACAATCCACGGGCCAAATCAGGCCTCTAATCTGTTTTTTTAAATAAAGTTTTATTGGCACACAGCCATGCCCATTCACTCATTTGTTGTCTATGGCTGCTTTCATGCTACAATGGCAGAGTTAAGTAGTTACAACAGAGATGTATGGCACACAAAGACTAAAGTACTTACTATCTTGACCTTTACAGAAAAAGTTTGCTAACCCTGACATAGATGATCATGTTATCTGTGAATAAAGGCAGTTTCACTTCTTCCTTTCCAGGCTGGATGCCTTTTATTTCTTTTTCATGTTTTATGCACTGGCTAGAACTTCAAGGGCAATGTCGAATAAAAGTGGTGAGAGCAGACATCTTTGCTTTGTTCCTAATCTTAGAGGAAAAGCATTCAGGCTCTCATGATTCTGTATGATGTTAACCATAGGCTTTTTGTAGATGCCCTTTATCAGGCTGAGGAAGTTCCCTTCTCTTCCTAATTTGCTGAGAGTTTTTATCAGGGATGGATGTTCTGCATTTACTGAGATGATCATATGGTTTTTCTTTCTGTAGTTTGCTAAAATGGTAAAGTATATTGAATTATTCTGAATGTTAAATCATTCCTTGGATAAACCCCGCTGGTGATGTATTATCCTTTTAATTTTTTTAATTTTGATTTATTTTAATTTTAATTTAATTTATTTTTGGCTGTGTTGGGTCTTCGTTGCTGAGCGTGGGCTTTCTCTAGCTGTGGCGAGCGGGGGCTACTCTTTGTTGCAGTGCGCGGGCTTCTCATTGCAGTGGCTTCTCTTGTTGCGGAGCACGGGCTTTAGGCGTGCGGGCTTCAGTAGTTGTGGCACGTGAGCTCAGTAGTTGTGGCTTGCGGGCTCTCGAGCACAGGCTCAGTAGTTGTGGCGCACGGGCTTAGTTGCTCTGCGGCATGTGGGATCTTCCCGGACCAGGATTCGAACCTGTGTCCCCTGCATTGGAAGGCAGATTCTTATCCACTGTGCCACCAGGGAAGCCCCTGTATTATCCTTTTTAGACATCATTGGCTATTATTTACTACAGTTTTATTTAGGATTTTTGCATCATTGTTCATGAGAGATATTGGCCTATAATTTTGTTTTCTTGTAATGTCTTTGATTTTGGCATCAGGGTAATGTTGGCCTCATAGAATAAGTAGGGATGTATTCCGGCTTTTCCATTTTTTAAAAAAGTTTGTATAGAGTTGGTATTATTTCTTTCTTCAGAATTTGGTATAACTCACCAGTGAAGCCATCTAGGCCTGGAGTATTCTTTGGGAAAAGATTATTAACTACAAATTCAATTTTTTATTAGATTGAAGGATAGTGTCAGAAGAAATTGTTTTATTTTTTACTTTTAAAATTAGAGACTTATAGGAATAGGACATTATCCTTTTAATTCACTTTATTATTTTTATTTTATTTTATTTTTTGGCTGCGCTGCACTGCATGACAGATCTTAGGCATGCAGGGTCTTAATTCCCCGACCAGGGATTGAACCGTGCCCCCTGCAGTGGAAGCGCGGAGTCTTAACCACTGGACCACGAGGGAATTCCCTCTAATTTACTTTAAAAAATAAAAACAAACCATACAGGAAACAACAAGGAATCAATAAACGCATAAAGCATAAAAATGATAGAAATCCAAAGAAATCAACTATGGAAATAAATGCTTAAATTCCCTTATTAGTTGTAAACATTTGAAAAGCATTGATGATAGTCTAAGCACTTTATATTTACCAACCCTCTAATCTTCACAGCCACCTATGAGGTAGGTGAGGTTGTTACACTGTTTTGTATATTAGGGAACCAGAGCCCTAGAGGGTTAATTAGTATATTTGAAGTCGCACAGTAAATATCAGAGCTGAGATTTGAACCCTGAGCTGTTTGTTGCAAGAGTCAGGGTGCTTAACCCCAATGCCATGCCACCAGGGAGTGTAAAAGACAAGAGATTTCAGTTTGAATAAAAAATATACGCCCTACATACGCTGTTAACAAAAGGTATACCTTAAAATTAAATGCTATAGAAAGATTTAAAAATAAATGATGAACAAAGTTATGAAAAAAGGGTTGAACACAATGAAAGTGGCAAAGTCATCAAAGTACTATGCACAGAACACTATAATAAAAGATATGGCATCAACATAATAAGGCAGAGATAATCAGAAACATCGCAAGAAGGCATCTGCTGAGTGCTCGGATAATTTGCATTACTAAACCTCTACCTGCAACAATTGGCCATCAGCCTACTTTGCCGTGGCTGAATTTGTTTATAAAAAGCCACTGACTTCTCCTTCCAGCAAACTCCGCTTCTCTCTGCCCAGCCACTTCCCTAAATCTCCCCATACCCAAGCAAACTACGGGCCACCCACCAGAACATTTAAGACATTTGCTAGCAAGCAAAGGACAAGCACAAAAAGCCTGACCACCTGCAGAGGGCTACAGTGGTGTGTGTGTGTAGGAATTTCCGCAGGAAGTCCCCTTCCTCTCTTCACCAGTACATCCACACCTCCTGTCTGTGCCTAAGATCCGTCATGCAGTGCAGCGCGGCCAAAAAAAAAATAATAATAATAATAAAAGTGAATAGAATCTGTATCTGGGGTCCTTCAAAGTAATGGAGGTGGTCATCTCAATGGCCACTCAAATCCATCTTCATCCTCCTATATTCCTTCATTCCTTGCTCCGCCAACCTATTAACACCCTGCCCACAATCTAGGTACAATGACCTAGTCATCCAGGAGGAGACCCTGCTAGGTACTCTTCAGCTCTGCAGTAGCGCCTTTCCTAGTCCCCTGGGAAGGGTACTGCTAGGTAGGGCAGGTGTGGAAATCTCCTTCCACCTTTGTGGTGTGCCTAAGCAGGTTAAAGCTCTCCACGGGCAAACCTGGGGAAAGCTTGGCCATGCTTTCTCTGGAAAAGGGGTCCAGAAGTGGGAGCCTTAAATGGTTCAGCCTCTCTAACAGCTGCTAGCAGCCTTGGCTACACGCATACATCTTTCTACTCTCCTTCCCCCTCTGCATCACTGGGTTTAAGAATTTTCTCCAGTATTTGTTAGTAAAATAAGAAAGCCACTGGAGGATAAGGAAAACTTTCTATGAGGGTTTTTGATGCTGTGCTCCTCTGAATACTCATAGCAACAGAGACCTCAATAAAGCCTGAGTTCACCTGAGGGACAAGACATACTCCCAACAGTAGCCATGTCAGTGATTCTTACCAAGGGGAGAGGGGGTGGTCCAAGGAGGGCAGGCATATTAAGAGTAGAAAGCTTGGTGTGCAACTTGAAAGTTATCTGGGTGATTATTAGCAACCCAGGTGTGGAGGGTGTATCATCAGTATAGCATTGTTATCTTAAAAACAGCTTAAAACAACAGTGGTTCTCAAAGTTAGCTGCACGTCAGAATCACCCAGAGGGCTTGTTAAACCACAGGTCGATGGGCCCCATCCCCAGAGTTTCTGGTTCAGAAGATCTGGGGCTCAAGAATCTGCATGTCTTACAAGTCCCCATTTGATGTTGATGCTGCAGACTCAGGCACCACTCTTGGAGAATCACTGATTTAGAAGATGGACTCCGCAGTTTGGGTTTAAATACCAGCTCTGCCACTAGCTCTGGGTCTGTAGGCAAGTTGCTTAGTCCCTAGGCCTCAATTTTCTCATTGTGAAATTTTTCTCAATTTTCTCATTTCTCAATTTTCTCAAAGTGAAGATAATAGCTTCATCCACCTCATAGAGTTATGATGAGACTGACTATAAATGATGCATTTAGAACAGTCATTGTACCTAATAAATGCTATATGACAGTTTGTTATTTTATTATTATCCTTCTCTAACTTCAGATAAATGAAGAGAGGTATAAAGAAAATTCACATCAAGGCCTTGTGATAATAGAGCAATAACATTTAAAACTCCGGGAGAGAGAGGCCTGTTTTGCATTTCTGTTTTTTTATGTATCACTCTCTAAATCACTATGATTAATGAGACTTGAGATTGGTTAAGGTCATTATAACTAGTTACTATGATTTTGGAAAATATACTGTGTAGAAAATTTTATGACTGAGGCTGAATTCAAATGAATAGTGTATCATTAATCGGACATGGAACCACCTACTAACAAAAGCATTACTGCCACCTTGTGGCAGCATACCAAAATTGTTGGCAAAAGCACCGTGGAAAATTTATCAGCATCTTTAAGACAACTTGCAGACCTAGACTCATTAAAGTTAGAATGTCACATACGGGGAAAAAGTAACACTGGCTTAGATAGAAGGGTAAAAACGAAACTGTGTTTTTCAGTCCTGTTGTCTGTAATGATGGTGAGACCAAGGTTTAACCTACTCTGTTCCACTTTCAAGGCCAGCTCAGGGTTCTAGTCCTTCCTACCCAACAGGGGAAAATGGCCCTAATGCAAACCAGAGGTTGGGGAGGGAGGGCCTCAGAGATGATGAAGAACACCCACCAGGATGAAGGAGGCCGACTGCCTGGCAGAGAGGCTGTTTTCAGGAGAGAGGGTGGTCATGGCCCCTGCTGTCTTCAAAGCAGCCTCTGACCAGAGCTCACTTGGAGCCCTGAGTGATGCTTTAATTAAGCAGGGGAAGGTGATCTTCCTATGAGCTGCATCCCCAGGAGGAACTGGGCCTATTCCGACCTCCCATACTTGAACAGAGCCAGCCACTGTGTGTCACAAAGCCCCTGGAATCCTCATCACAATGAGGTCATCACAATGACCTTGGAACATGGGAGCACTCAGCTTTAGAGGTTAAGACACACCCAAGAACCAAGGGGACTAAACCTCCCAGTCACCCAGGAAAACTATAGTCCTTACAGGATGTGCAGTGGGGGTTGGGATCAGAGGACATCAGGGTGCTGGGCTGGTGAGGGAGGGCTATCTTGGAATCTCCCTCCTCTGGGCTCCCTTCGCTTGTTATCCTGCCAGACTAGTACCGAAACCTGGAGAACACCTAGAATGGGAACTTTAGATTTCTTGGGTGCCACTTACAGAGACTCAGAATCAGAATGTCTGGGCTGGGAAACTGTATTTTGAAAAACTCCCTGGGTGACTCGGATTAGGTATTTGGGTGGTAGCTTCAAGGGGGTAGAGATCAGTTTCATTTATCTTTATATCTAGAACGCAAAACACAGTGCCCAAGTGACTGAATGAATAAGTTAATTGAAGAGTAAGTGAAGCTCTTAAATCTCATCTTACTTTCCTCTCTGTATATATTAGAGAGATTTCTATACATGCCCCATCTCCCCTTCTACCCTGAGTTCCTTTAGGCTCGGGTCAATGTCTGATTCTTGTGCTTTCCTCTCCCAGTGCCAATCCCACCTCCTGGCACTTGGTAGGTGCTCAGTATTTGTTGAATGAATCAGGAACTGGCTCCTCTCGGCTCCAGCATCACCAGTTCTCCACCTTAAGCGTCGCTTGCATTTCTACTCAGGTCTCGGCCATTAAAGCCATCTGGCTCTAAAGCATTCTTAGTCATTAGGAAAGGATAGTAATTAGACCAACCAAACCGGAATCAGGAGCTTGGAGCTGGAATTTGGACTCTGACCTCAAATCTGGATGTTCCCCCATTCTGAGCCATGGATCCCCCAGCCATGAAATCAGAATACAGTCAACCTCTGGCTCGCACATCCTTATTAACATAGTGAATCAGAGTCCATATGGAAGTCTTCAGTGGACACAATTCACTGTCTCATTTACTGTTACTGTTCTGCTAGCTTGTGGCACTGCAGGAGGCCTTTTAACTCGAAACGCTTTATTCTCTGCCGCTCTCCAGTACTCCATCCCAGCCTAGGAAAGCGTGACAGCCTCTTCCCCTTGATCTGCTGCCCCTAGGTCTGCATGGACAGGAGGTGGGGCGGCTTTGAGTAGGGGAGGAGTGGAATAAGGACGGGGCAGCCTCTGACAGCAGGATGCCTTCCTTCTGAGTCTTCCAAAGCAAATGTCCGGAGCAGCAGGCATGGCGAGGGCATTACTCACCATTTGGGATTATCTATGCCTCTGTTCTTCCACATTAACAATGTCGACAGCTGAGAATTAACTGTAATGTTGCCCTAAGAAGCTGAGGATCAGGCAGGGAGCTGGAAAATCTGAGGGCTAAATCCAAAGTGGCTTCTAAAATGAACATGATGGGCATAGGTCATCTACTGAACTTCCTTTCACCTCTGGCTCCTTATCTGCAAATTGTAGATAATAACCCTTCCCCAAATTAGCCGGTAGAGTTTAGTCATATTACAAAAGCCTCCTAGCAACCACATGGAGGCTTAATATTCAAACAGAATTGTAGGACCCTGCGCTGAAGCAAGAAGGGTTTTGATCCCTTTTTCTCCTTTTTCTGATTCTTCTAAGAGGTTTACCTGTGTCAATCTCATTTTCTTCAGGGCCAAATGGTCCTTACCATGTCCTTGTATTTGTATAATTGCCCAAATTCTTTAGATTCTCCTGCATTACTTTTCTTTCATTCATTTCCCTCTCCCTGATGGGGACCCAATTTTCTGCTTTAAATTTCTGTACATGGGGATTCTTCAGGGCACAAGAATCCCAGATTTTAACGTATTCTTCTTGGTATTAGAGTGTGGGCAAAGGTTGGAGAGATTGAGAATTTGCATTCAAGTCCTGGGAGGGAGCAAACCTCCTAGCCCATCTTTTCTCTGAGGACTCCGGCTGTCCATGGGCTGCCTGCCAGCACTGTGGTGGGAAAGAAGGAGGGCAGATGTGGAAGAGGGAGCTACTGTGGGAATCTCCTGGTTCCCCCACCAGCTTATTGATCTATGCTCTGCTCTACACTACATATTTATTTGCAAGTTGTAATGCTGATCTGTGGTACAGTTTTTCTGAGTTTCTTAACCAGAAGAAGTAGGCAAGGGAACCCCAATGATACTGAAACATGTTTCAGTCTCCTATATGGAAATGGTGAGAGGTGAGAGGTGCCTAGGGAAGACTGTCTCATCTCAGACACACAGTGTTCATGCGTGAGAAGGCTCGTGGGCTTTGGTGCCAGAAAAACCCAGGTTCAAATTCTGACCCTGCCACCCGCCCTTCATGTGAACTTGGTCCCACCTGTTGGGAAAGGCCATCTTGTGCATGCCATCTTTTCACCCCTGCTTGGCCATGTACGAGTGGGCCTTGAGCCTGGAACACTTCCTTGTCAAGAAGTAAAGGGCTCCCCTGGTGGCGCAGTGGTTGGGAGTCTGCCTGCCGATGCAGGGGACGCGGGTTCGTGCCCCGGTCCGGGAGGATCCCACGTGCCGCGGAGCGGCTGGGCCCGTGAGCCGTGGCCGCTGAGCCTGCGCGTCCGGAGCCTGTGCTCCACAACGGGAGAGGCCACAACGGTGAGAGGCCCGCATACCGCAAAAAAAAAAAAAAGAAGAAGAAGTAGGGAGCCCTCTCAGGCTGTGCTGGATTTATCACCTTGTGTGGGGATGTCTTTCCCTGCTCTGGATTCAGCATATGCTCCTTTGTTCTGCTTGAGTGTGTGCGTTGCACAGCACCTGGCCAATCCCAGCACTGTATCTCCGCCTGGCAGGGAGGGAGGGGGCTCTTTGTGAGGCCCTGGGGCACCAATGCCTACTACTGAAGTTGATTCTGCTGTCGCTTCTCCATGTGAGTAAAGCACTGTTCCCTCCAGTGCCTGTGTGAGTTGTGTCTTTCTTGGTGGCCCCGACACTTACAGACCACGGAGCAGGTTGACATTCTGGGATGCTGGTGGCAGGCATTGCTGTGCTGTTTGCTCTCGTCTACGCAGCGGGACTCCTCCCCTAGAGGTAGTAACAGGTGTCATTTGTTTAACACCGTCTCTTACTCTTTCTGAGTCTCAGCATCGTATGTCCTGGGGCAGGGGGATGATAATACCTCATGGAACAGGAGGGTAAGTGAAGAAGCATGTGTGAAGAGCCCGGCATGGGCCGGAGCCCAGGGCACAGGAGTGGTCATGAACCTTGGCATCACCATTAGTATTACCAATACCCAGGACATGTCTGTAAAAATCCCTATGAACTAGACTTGAGTCAAGATGCCATTGCTTCCACGAGGCTTGCAAGTACATCAGTTCAAAAGTTCAAAGATTCTGTGAGCCACACAGTTTCTGTCTCTCTGCCTTTCTCCAGGGAGCTGAGGACCACGGTTGCTATAAAAGCAGGGTGAGGCCAGTATTAGAAACTGAGTTCCGTTCCCTTCATGTCAACACAACACGACACAACCCTGTGAAATGTGATGCGCCAGGTCCCTGTAACAATTAACAGGTAGCCCCCTTCAAAGGACACCTACCCATGACTGTCTAGTCTGGGGCATGCTGCTTCTTGGTATAAATTACATGCATTCTGATTTTATTTCACTGCAAAGTGCCGACAATCTTTTATGCTAAAGCAGTACTTTTCTCTTTGCCCCTCCCTGTGGGGAACCAGGATAAGTTTAGATTTTCGGCAGCAGGTTTTCTGCCCTCGCCTCCACGAAGTGCGGTATTTCTGACAGTGCTGGAGACAGCTGCACGTCATGTGTCACTAGCGGGAGGCGAGCAGAGGGCTGGGGGGCTGGGGGTGGAGACGGCTGTCTTCTGAGCCTGTGGTGTTGGAATTCCCCAGAGCAATAGCCAGCCCAGCCTGAAGTCCTCGGAACTACTTGGAGTGCCACGGGGTTATTTGCTGCATTTGGGGCCATCACCGTCATCTTGGGAAGCCCTCACTTGCTCTACCCTTCCCCTCAGTTAGTTGAAGATGACACCTCTGTCACCTTGAATCCAGTTATCATGCACTCCAGGAATACCCCATAGGAGCAACTCTGGGTAGAAGCCACTGCAGTCAGCAAAAGAGAGGCACTCAGCCCTGGGCAGCTGAGTCCCCACAAGCTCCCTCCTGCTCTGAAGGGGTCTTGCTCCTTAGGGGTCCTCGTCGTGGTTCTCCCTGACTCCTGCCCCCCAGCCTTGGGGCACCACCGCGCACAGGACTCTGATTCTCAGTGAAACCAGGCTGCGTTTTTCATGCTGCCCCGTTCACTGCTCATTCAGCCCCCAAAAGCCCCCTCTTGTCCCTGGACATCCCGACCACTGCTGCCTTTTATAGGGCACTTGCTATATACCTCAGGGGAGGTGCTTCATATACGTCAGTGCCAACCTTGACCACCCTGTGAGGGCAACAGAAGTTACTTGCTTGGGATCACCCAGTTAGTAAGTGGGGAGCCAGGAACCTCCTAGCTCTGCCTAGCCTGGCTACCAGCCAGGCCAGCTCTGCGTCACATCAAGCTGCCTCCCACGTCCTGTGGGCAGAAGTGGGCATCTTTGAACACCTTGCTGGCTCAGGGGACTGTGAGCCCAGAGCCCAGTGGGGAGGAGGGAGCATGCTTTACCTCCTTGTCCAGACTTTGAGATAGTCATTCAATCCAAAACAGAGTGTGTGGTGATGGCTGGACGAGACAGTGGGGCAGTATTACAACCTAGCATGAAAGAGGATGGAGAGGAAAAAGGACAAGGAATTCCAGCAAACTCCAGAGACTGCTAATGGAGAGAAATAATGTGGCTGATTATATTTCTTAAGGCTATCTGTTCCAAAATGAATTTTGAATGAAAAAATAATGCATTTTCCCTACAG